CTACGATGTCCTGACATGGCTGTATCGGTGGCTGAGCCGCCGCGTACGTTTCGCTGAAATTATACCGCAGCCACAGTCACGAATGGAGGAGTAGACTTTTATTGGATATGTATGTGTATACATACATACACTGCCGGAACAAAGTATTGGCACAGCAAATTTTTCACAATATATGCAACAATTTTCATTCTAATATTTGTCCGTTAATTTCTTATAAAAATACAATTCATTCTACAACAAAAAACATAAAAATTTAATCCCTAAACTATGTGCAAAACTCGCGAAAATTCAGCAAATTTTGATGAAAATTTTCAACTTTTTAATCAGATTTTTTAGAATTTTTTTGGGTATGCAGATTTGTAGCCCAATCAATTTTGTTATAGCAAAGTGTAAGTTTTAAGTAGCTAGGAATTATCGTTGATTTTTGGCAATTTTTTTCACGCAATCTCTTCCATGAAAACACCTTTAACAAAAAAATTCTCAAAAATTAACGCGATTTTTGACTAATTCCGAACTTGTATTTTTTTACTAGAATTCAATGGGCTGCAAAACTAAAAAATCTGATTAAAAAGTTGAAAATTTTTGATGAAAATTTGCTGAATTTTCGCGAGTTTATTTTTATGTTTTTTGTTGTTGAAAGAACCATATTTTTATACAAAATTGGCGGAAAAATACTAGAATACAAATTGTTGCATTTGTTGTGAAAAATCTGCTGTGCCAATACTTTGTTCCGGCAGTGTAGGTATGATAAGAACACATACATACATAAATATGGCCGTCGACGAATATTTCCAATAATGACAAACTTCAAAAATCGATTCGTGTTTGCGGTTAAGAAGTTTAAAGCCAAAAAAGAAGAAAACTGAGTTCCTTCAGCGGCTTGAAACTTTGCCAAGAAAAGGATTATTTTAGCAGCGAAGCGCGATTTTGTTCTAAGTATGACTATGTACTTAAGCAGGGATCACACGATTTGTATATTTTTACAGACTTGTACATTTAGGCAGTCACATTGCTGTCTAGAAATAATGAGTTCAGCTCAACAACAACTTTCCAACCAACACCACTCTGCAACTATGAAAATGTACCAATCTATACAAATTGGGGGAAAATTTGTTTTGCTTAGGCTTTTTTGGTTTATTTTCAAGTTCGAATAAAATGGTTTATTTGCAGACCTCTGCCAGGAGCAGTTGCTTGGTTTTTGAATTTCTGGAATGAACAAATTTCAAAAACTTTGCCACTTAAAGCAACCAAATGGACCTCAAATGCTTTTGTGAATGACATTGTGGTACGGTCCATCGATAGCGATTATGTACCTTTTGTTATTTCATTTGACCACAAAACATTCACACCTTAATTGGAATTCACGCACACGCACGCTCATACAAATTAGATAAAACATTCGCGTATCCACAGCCACACCTTCGAATGAAAATGCAAAATTAATAGAACGGAAATGTTTTCTACTTCCTTGCCCATTTATAAGCTCTCATTAGTGTGAGTGGGTATGTATCTGTGTCTGTGCAAATGTGTCTGGGTATACCACCGTGCGGGGCCGCTGCTAGCGGTGCGTTTTATTTTGCTAAATTTGGTTTAATTGGCGTTAATTAACGGCCGACATTGTGCGCCCAACACCTGGCTTGAAACGCTGGGTTTTACTCGTTGTTGCCTTTCAATTTAAACAGCGGAAATGGCAAACCGCAACGACAACCATCGCCGATAGTTAACTTTTTAGTTTTGCTCGCCAGTGCTAACCAAATGAAACGAACTCGCCCGCCACAAAAAAAAAACTCCACACGCACACTCAAAATCGCGTACACACACATACATACATACATACAAATAGCATCAGAATTAAATGGCGTTAGTAGACACTCGTACTTACGCAGCGTACAATGCCGTCCATTCCAGCCTTGCGAGCACACGCAGGTTCCGTTTTTACACTGTCCATGCTCCGAACATCTGGCGTCGCAGGGCAGCTGATCGCAGAGATTACCAGTCCAGCCGGGATTACAGCGGCATTTGCTCGACTCACAAACACCGTTCGGCCCACAGTCCAAACTGCATACGGCTGCAAAGAACGAAAATAAACGAATACAAACGATTAACTGGGAATACAGGATATTCAGAAATCGGGTTTCAAAATTAGGAAGCCAAAAAGTTCGGATAGTATCGTTGAAAGTAAATGCCTATCTATTAATATCTACATACTTATGTATGTACATACATTAGACCGCATCACCAAAAAAAGTTGCAGTTTTTCCGCCGGAATTACAAAAAATTTTTTAAAGACTTCCAACAAAATATTTCGGAAAAATTTAAGGTAAGAAAAAACAAAGCCCAAACACAACTTCAACTTCTGTAATTAAATACAACAACTTTTAACTTTTTTGTCTCGGGTGGGACAATACCAATACTGCATTATAGTAACTCATAATATATACAAAGCACTCACACAATTTAATATATAATAGAATTTTATTAGCCACAGATGAGCTCTACTATATATTTTTCTTACCAAGCACTTGAATTATGAATCGAAAATTATTTGACAGTAGTTTCCACACAACCAAATTTAAACCTACTCAAAAAATTTACTTATAACTTGATTTTAAAAAATAATACAATGTACAAGAAAATTTTGTTATTTTTTTTTGGTTGATTCAAGATTTGTACACATGTCTTATCCACACATTTGTTAGTTTTATAAAGAAAAAATTTTGTGCTCTGAGGTTCAGTTTCCCATGGAACCTCCCACCTATTTTTTATTTCATCATTATATTCGAAAATCTCGAAAAATTCCGATATTTTTAACTCACAGAAAATTATATATTTTTTTTTAATTTTTTGCAGTTAATAAACTATTTATCGGGGAAAATCAATTAAGTAAACAAAATGTGCGCAATTAAACAGGTTTTCCCTTAGAGTGTGATCTACCTAAATAAATATTTTTTGGCATTAAAAATTTCATTATATTCTTTTTTTAACCCTCATTGTCCTTGACAATGTGAAACTCAATGGCCTTTTTTATAAAAAAAAAATTTTTGGAACTGATTTATTGATAATTGTTTAGTATATGTCATTTGTTTTTCTTCACATTTAACACATATTACACGTGTATTTTTATTATTGTGTAAAATATGGTAGGCATTCAGAAACTCGTCAGCTCTCTAAACAATTAATTAGCTGCTCACTCCACCGACTACCCAGATGACTTCACATTTCGTAGAGTTTTATTGGTGTCTGTGACGTGTTTATGCAGATACATTTGCTAGTATACATACACATGCATGTATGTATGTATGCGCATGTAAATGATAAATGATCTCGAGATCGAAATTCGACTGGGGGATGTTGATAGGATGCCCCTGAATGCTGAATAAAGTGAAATTGTTTGAATCCGCCGATGATGGCACCATGGCGTATGAGTGTTGCAAAGTATCGCTGGCAGCTCGTGCACGCATCACCTTTGTCTGCATGTGTCGACAGCCCACTGTACATATATCTAACAAATCCACCTCTGGTGCCTCTTTTTTAGACTGGGCGAATCTCCATTTACGTTGTTTTAGTTTTATTTGACTCAACAACACCTTGAATGCAAAAACATATCCTGCTCTAACATAATTCGTTTCTTTTTTCACGCGGTGATCAATAGCAATTTTGCACAGCTAAATCGTTGGGCGACGCATTATGCAAATACGTATGTATATCCACATACACACATAAGTAATCTGCTTATCCACAATGTTCAATGGCGGACGGGGAATGTAAAAGACCAAAAGCTCGCTACCCTACCCTAAATGAGTTGGCATTACCAAGTGTCGTGCCACATACACATACACATACGCACTTCAGGGTTACTCAACCGCTTATGTCGTTTATAAGTACCGCTACATATGAGCTGTTATGAGCACCTTACATACATACGTACATACATAGATCCCATGTGCCCGATTTTTACTCTTTTTTTGTGGGTGTGAAGATGTGCGATGCAAATATGCTACTTATTAAGCTTTATCCTGTCGGGTGGCATTTTTCATTTACTTTCATTTATCCGCCTGGCAACTATTCACTACTTTGTGTGAGTGGAAAATAATATCCACTCATGCAAGCGCCTTTCGTTACAGAGTTGCTCGTGTGACCATCTTTGTACATGCTTATGGCTGCGTGTATGTGTGTGTGTGTTTTCATATGAGAGTCGTTATAAATGCTTGCTCTTTCTCGTTTCGAAAGTACGTTAACCCGCTTCAATGTAAATCCGTTATGTTACGTATACGCCATGCCATCCAATCACTTGCATGCTCATCGCTTTTCATTTCCATGTTGCATTCCCTGTCCCGCAGGGCTTCAGCACAGTCGCGCTGAATTCATTCTACTTCCTACACTCAAGTTGCTTGTCTTCTTGCCTCCTGCGCATTTACTTTGTGAATCAATGATTGAGCTACTCCGCCACGTGAATTTGCCCCACAGGCGAATAGACAGGCATGCGAACGGACTGACGGACATAAGGACATATGAGGAGAACGTCAAGTGGCCGCACAATTTGCCAGAGTTCTGTGCCGAGTTTGTGACTGCAGCTGACAAAGAAGCTATTTGGGCAGACAGAATGGCTGACAGCCAAACATTTCGGTGGATGAGTAAGCGTAGCACGGAAAGTCGACCCTTACCTGATTGAGAATATAGTTAGCTTACATATGTTGCAACAAAATCGAAAATATAGCATACAACATGCGCCAGTGATGCTGTTGCATCATCGGTTCGGGCTTTGGGGAGCTGCTTGTTTTCTGGAGTGGTAAAAACGGGCGGTTTATGTTAGGCAAGTGGCAAAGAATACAGTGCATAAATCCTGTTGAAAGCAGACGGTGACAAAATGATGCTTACCACAATTTCTCTTTCTGCTTTTTGTTGGCTTTCTCATTGGCTCGGATAGAGGAAACCTGATATGCTGGCTGCCAAGAATGTTGCCGGGACAGAATATTCTTGCTAAAGCTCCGACTTTTCATAGTGTGGTACTACAGAAAGAAAAGGCTCTATATCTCGGAAAATACATTTGCAATCGTAGATCCTGATTATATTGAACCTTATTCTGTCATTCATCGACAGATCGTAAATCTTTTTAATTGCCACACAGCGATGGCTGAATGGGAATTGTCGGGGAAAATGGTCCGTAAGACATTGGGTGTATCGGATTTGCTTACACATTAGGCCTGCGCAGCATTTGTAGGGCTCATATTTCTTTCTCCAGAAAGCCAGCAGGTTCGCGGGCAATTGGAGAAGTTTGCGTCACTACGCGTGATTATAAACGCGCATACAAATAAGTCAGTTGCAAGGAAAATTGTGGGAAATTAGGTGCAAATTCCGTGACTGCAAAGTTAACACAGTCCCGCCTTGGTCACTACACCTGCAGTTTTTACACAGATTGATCCGAAATTAATAACGCATCGGGTGCTGCGTTATGCATTCCAGAGCTCGAGCTACCACAACCGTATAAAGATTCAGGCTACTGAAGAATTTTTCAGGGCGAAACCTATGCTCCAACAGAAGTGATTGAATCTGTGCCTGAACCAGTTCTTCCTAAATCTTAAGATTTCACGAGAACATCTTGCTAATTATGTTCGGATTTTGGTAGAATTCCGATTTGTTTCCTTACTGGAGGTTATTGTAAACTAAAGAACTACAAATTGGTTAAAGCTCGCAAGGAAATGTATACCGATTTATATCAATAGTATGGACCAGCAAGTGGTTTATATTAGATCCTACCTAACCTGATTAAGACCCAGTATAAATATATAATGCAGAAAATAAAAGATATCCCCCGTATCTTCTACATATTATTAATTTACCAGCAGCTGCACAAACAATTTACAAATGCACAAACACATTTCCTGTCCCGAAATGTGCTTCTGTGAGATTTTACTCCACGATTCTTGAAATCACCTTCGAGCTGACCACTTCAATGTGTCACTACATCATTGCGCTGCTCTGTAAAATTAATAAATAGCACATATGCACCCCCCACCAATGTGTAAATATTTATATGTATGTATGTATGTATGTACATATAAATTTATTTTATATAGATTCTTATAACTTGGCACTAAAGCAACAACGAGCGATTGATTGAAACGAGAAATGAGGTCAAGGATGCGCCTGCCACATATGTATGTATACAATTTCTTGCAGCATCTTCCACACAATGCTGCCTCCTCCTTGCGCATCTACCACCGACCACCTACTGAAACTTTTAAATTAAACGGAATGACAGCTGAAGCACAGCGGGTGCTGCAAATACATATGGATTGCGTGTATGTAAGTGTGCATGTTTGTGGCAGTTTATGTGAGAGGGCACTTCTCGCTCATTGTTGCCTCACGAACTTATTGAAAATCGAATCGGACTAAACCAAAACATATCGAAAAAGCAGAGATGTTCCAACACAAAAGTTGGCCTTGCAGGCGGTCCTTGTGCGTAAATTCAGTTCGAAAGTGTTTCGCCATTGAACGCTGCAAACATGGCTTACATAAAAATAAAAAAAATTTGTTTTACCCACAGCCAACGAAGACATGGCAGCCATTGAATTTTTAATGAAATTTTCAAGTGCAAACTCATCTTTCCTCCGGATTCTGCTCAGAGCCAATCATTTCGGAGGTTTATCGGGCAAAATGTGACGTAGGGTGATTGCGTTTGAACTGCTGCTGAATAAACTAATAAAACCTTTCACATTTTATGTTCGTCTATTTTGATCAATTTCTTTTTTATGTATGTATGTATGTATTTATGTGAGTGGCCCCAGGTAATATGATAAACTAGTACAACATGAAGCAACATGAATACCTGCTCACTCAGGCAAACATGTGTACAGACATGGAAGTACAGACAAAATTGCGTATACATATACTTCCGTAAAGATATGCCAGGCCATAGAACATGAACGTACATACATACATATCTATGTACATACATATATTTCAGAGAAAGTAAGATGAAAATAATGCTACAACGGGACGATACAAAGGTCAATGCAAGTCAAAAGATTAACATAAATGAAAAAAAACTGCAGTTATGTATGTGTG